AACTAGTAGGGAAAAAGGTAATCGAAAAGTGAAAATGAAAATGCTAGTATTGGTAATTGAAGAGTTATTGCTTGTGGAATTCCCTTTACAAAACGTAATGATTAATATATGTATATTAATTTTTTTACCAAGTTTTAACTTCCCCTGCAGGTGCCTTCATTTGAAATCATTTCCTCATAGGATGAACTGTGATTATGATGAAAATGGGTGTAACTGTAATTATAAATTGTCGAGGCTAAAAAGAATATACAAATTTGTCTAATTGCTGCAATAATAATTATCAAAAAACAATCTACCCTTTTCCGATTGCGACACGAGGAATTGTAGTTTTCCGTTGTCACGAGAGCTAAGTTTAAATGGGAATGTACAATCGGAAACCGGAAAAGGCTCGGAAAACGTTAGAGGACTTGCAGGTTAATTTCTGATACCAACCCAAATGCTAAACAATAGGTCGGCAATGTGTACTTGTGGGATTATACTTAGTTTTATTCTATTCGGTTGGAGTTTGTTTTTAAAAGTCAGTATCTGGGAGTTGAATTGCTTTAAGTGAGGAGGCAATCACTGCAAAGGAAAAAGTGTAACTTTGAAGCTGTCCAGAGACCTTTCACTTGTGGTAGACGAGAATTCCCTAAGAAACTTGTGGCCCCTTGGTCTCATCCTGGATGTAAAACCAACCAAGAGAGACGGGCNTGCCTTCATTTGAAATCATTTCCTCATAGGATGAACTGTGATTATGATGAAAATGGGTGTAACTGTAATTGTAAATTGTCGAGGCTAAAAAGAATATACAAATTTGTCTAATTGCTGCAATAATAATTAACAAAAAACAATCTACCCTTTTCCGATTGCGACACGAGAAATTGTAGTTTTCCGTTGTCACGAGAGCTAAGTTTAAATGGGAATGTACAATCGGAAACCGTAAAAGGCTCAGAAAACGTTAGAGGACTTGTAGGTTAATTTCTAATACCAACCCAAATGCTAAACAATAGGTCCGCAATGCGTACTTGTGGGATTATACTTAGTTTTATTCCATTCGGTTGGAGTTTGTTTTTAAAAGTCAGTATCTGGGAGTTGAATTGCTTTAAGTGAGAGGGCAATCACTGCAAAGGTAAAAGTGTAACTTTGAAGCTGTCCAGAGACATTTCACTTGTGGTAGACGAGAATTCCCTAAGAAAATTGTGGCCCCTTGGTCTCATCCTGGATGTAAAACCAACCAAGAGAGACGGGCTGGTGAGGAGATTCGAGCTGAAAACCAAGTCCGCGATCCTGGAACGTCCCATCGACAAGATCGTTCTTCTAGAGGCTCCTAAACTGCACGAGAGCAGCTAAACATTGTTGATCTTAAAGTCCTCAATCAAGATATGTGCTTGTAACGTCAGAGAACAGTTGTTTCTTTATTGACTTGATT